AACTCCATCAAAATCAACATCTATTCCAATCCACAATCTTAAAATAATAAATTTACAAGTCTCCTTTGTATATTACTCAACTTTCTCATTTTTATATGACATGAAACTTATATTCACATTCAATCTTGTATTCCTAATAATCTTCTCGTCTCCCAGTTTCCATCATTTTTTTCAACTTAATCATTTTTTTCAACTTAAGTAACGTAAATGTAGACTAAAGAGGATAATGAATCAATACATCAGAAATAGTTTAATAGAAATCTTCAGTTAATGGATCAGTACATCTTAATTAGCTTCTTAGAAAAAGTGTAACTTGAACTCAAACAACTGGTTCGAAGTAGGTTGTAATAGTACTCTACATTCTGGACAACAATTCCACATATATCTCTGCAATGTTGTGCCTTACATGATCAGAAATATTTCTTACGAGACTCTATTTACAATTGCAGTCTGGATTTCCCTATTTGTACACTGAAATATATTTATCAAATCAGATACTCATAATACATTAAGAAAAGTGCATCCGGGTGATCTTTTGGTAGGTTGTTGATATAAAGGTTGAAACGTAACAAGTCCTCCTTGGAAACTGTTTCAGCATCAACAACATCTTCATTACAAGTTAGTACCCACAGATCCTCAGAATTAACTCTCCTTAAGGTACCACGGCAAAAAGGGCAAGACTCTGACAATTTGTTCCTACAGGTTGGAAAGACCAACATAAGAGTGTTACAATTCATTATAAACCAATGTGAACATTAATGTAAATACATACCACTTGCGGTAGCATTTGATACACATGGCATGACAGCAATTAGGTAAAACCATTTTGGTGCAAGGCTCTAAGCATATCCCACATTCATCTTCTCTTTCCAAATCCACATGGATTGGTTTTGCATCTCCTTCAATCAGTTTCTTGCCATAACTTGAGCTTTCTATGCTAGAATGTCCGCTCTTACAAATGTTTAACTTCTCCATGCTACCATGAAGTCTTTGAAGAGATGGCAGAATAATAGCTACAATTCATTTATTGACACCAGAAAACAGTGAGAAATAATTAGTAAAACCAGCCATAAAAGTGAGTATTTTCCTAGGCCGAAAGAACTAAAATAAAAGTTGCTTTCTGAAATTCAAAGATTCACGCACCATAAAACTCCCTGATGGTTGCTTTTCTTCCAGGAGGAGTCATATTTGATCTACCATCGTTGTGTACCTTTGGTAAAGAAAAAAAAAATAGAAGAGAAACAACAATAACAAATGAAAACAACGGTCATTTGTGAAGAAACTTTAGAATCCTATACCAAAACAAAATAAAATTTGTGCAATCGAAAGCTTATTACAAGGTTGAAGGATTCACTTGGTCTCTATAGTTGTCCCTTTTTAAGTTCTAGTCTCTGTCCAAAAAAACAGTAAATTTTAGTTGTGCTTTCTCACCATCAGAAAGTTTTATAGCGGTTTTACAGTTTACACTACTAGAAACTCTTCTCTGGTATTAGCACCCGAGACCAAAATTTAACTTCATTGTATGTTTAGAGACTAAATTGACAATTTCTTCGGAAGAGAACTAAAGCATTAAATAGAGACAACTATAGCAACCAAACGAATATTTCCAAGAATAGGTGTTTTACCTTGGANACGTACTGCACCGAAAGCAAGAGGAAGATTGTTTGATAATTCTTTTCACGATCACTGAGCTTTGCAGAAAAATATTTTACTCATACAAGAAACTACGTAGGTTATCAGTGAAATATGTTATAAATGAGTAAAATTAAAAAACAATAATTCTAAAAATAAAATTTTACTGAGGGGCAAAATAGTAAAGGGGAGGTGGAGGGAGAAGGCTGTAGTGGTGGAGGGAGCAACACCCTTTGTGGAATCATGGTCATCACTTTTAGTTGATGCATTATGGATCACTCAATTCTACTATGAGAAATGACTTTATAGTAAAATTATTGAAATATGAATAATAGTCACAAAACCAATCCATTGATAGTCTTTGCAATAAAAGTTATGGCTAAGACATATTTTATTAATTGGTATGGGAGGGAGGTTGGGATCTTTATTGCCTATAAGTAGTTGCTTGTCAAGCTTTTCTCTTTAGATTAGAATATATAGAGTCATGATTTACTACTATATTTTTCAAGGTAGACAATTGACATCCTTTAAAGTGTGAGCTCTTTTGGCATGAGCGGGAACGCCTTCACTCTTCCTCTTTTCACTTAGAAAAAGATGTGATGACACTCGTTTAGAATAAAAGAGGAGGTTGCACAAAACAAAAGAGAGTGAATTGGTTTGAAGTTATAGTTTCAATTTTTAAAAATTTTTAACTATTCAAAATTTGCGTTTAATAAATTTTAAGCCTATATCAAGATGTAGTAATAAAATAAATATTAGAGTATTAATCTTCTACAAAATGCATAAAAAAAATTTATTTTTTCTCAAAAGCAACGAAATAAAGAAAATAAGAAATAGAGAAAGTCACACACACTTAATTCAAATCAAAATAAATTTTACATTCAATTGTAATTACTTTAAATAAAGTGAAGACAAATTACTATTTTGAATTTGATATTACAACCACTCAACCCAAATGAAACATGAAAAATCATAGTCAAGATAAAAACTCACATTCTTTACAAAGACCGAGAGAATGATAAATCACCCCTCTTCAATAACCACAAGGGATGAAAATACATTCCTTAAAATACCATAAAGAATGAAACCATACCTTTCTTGAAAAATATGAAATCCTAAAATTTTTAATAATTAGAAAAATATACAAATATGATTAAATATTTTAAGTAAAAGATGAAATTGTTTAATAAATTTTAAGCTTATATCAAAATGTAGTAATAAATATTAGAATATTAATTTTCTAGAAAATGCGTAAAATGTTATTTTTCTCTCAAAAATAATGGAATAAAGAGAATAAGAAATAGAGAAAGTCACATGTTTGGTTCAAATCAAAACAAATTTCACATTCAATTATAATTACTTCAAATAAAATCATCACAAATTACTATATTGAATTTGATATTACATCCACTAATTCCAAGTGAAACATAAAAAATCACATTCAAGATAAAAACTCACATTCTCTACAAAGACTCAAAGAATGATAAACCATAAGGAATGAAACCATACCTCTCTTGAAAACTATGAAATCCTAGAAATTTTAATAATTAGAAAAACATACAAATGTGGTTAAATATTTTAAGTAAAAGATGAAACTAAAAACTAGTTATAATTTAAAATATTTATTTTATTTTAAAAGATTTTCTAAGTGTACTATACCCGGGTAGCCGACCGTTCGAGGAGAGTGTCATCCGCACCAACCGGTAATCCAATGATCGCGAGTTAGGTAAGACAGATGTTATTAATGGCCAGTTAATATTTTTAATGACCATATCAAAGGCAAATATATGGTATTTATGGGTGTTTAACAGATTATATTGCACAAATATATTGTATTAATGAATAATTAATATAATTAATGGGCTGGACAATTATGAGGCCAAAAAATACAATATTAATGTTCAGGTAAAATTATCTTATTCAAAATGACTATCAGAATATACAAGGGGCAGTTTTTTCTGACTTGAGCGTTAGAGTATTTTCTGTAGGACCACCCTTGGCCGGGAGGACAACTAAAACACTGGACGAACGGATTAGCATAATGAAGGTCATATCTGCAGGCAGAAGAGGCTAGGATTGAAGACGGACAACCTCAGACCCCAATTAAACCGAAACACTAAGAAATAAGATTTAATGAATAATTATTTAACTATAAAAGATATTGTTAGATATTTGTTAATATTATTGGATATTTTTATATTGTTACAAATTAAAAGATATCCTGATATATTAGATAATAATAATTGAGAATAAAATGTTGTATTTCTCTTAAACATATTAAGCTTAGAGAGCTTTAATAAAAACACTTGCAAGTCAAGGAAGAAAGAAGAAGTGAAGAGTAAGAGGTAGATGGAACTTACATTCTTGTTTACTTGTTTTCTTTCTTGCCTTCTTGTGTGTGTATGTGATGTATTATTTTATGAGTCTAAATTATGGAGTAGATGTTATTTAGTAAGATTGTAATGACATGTTACTATGTACTTGTTTGGAAACATAAATGTATCCTTGTGTGTGGTGACTCAACGAAAATGTGGTGAAGAGTAACTCTGCATAGTTATACCGAAAGTGAACTTCGTCGCTGCTCTTGGGAGAGTAATGGAAAGTGACACAAGTTTGTTTCGTTGGGACACAATACTATTAAAATATAAGTTCAACTTAAATAAATAAGGGTTAAATATGTTTTTGGTCCTTAACTTTAACTGAGAATTAGAATTAGTTTTGTTAAGTTTATTTGACATTTCAACATGTCAAACAGTAGAAACAACTCAAATACTGTCATGAAATGCATAACTAAATTCACGCATTTCTTATGATTTCGAAAAAAAACTAATTCCAATTTTTATTGAGAATTAGAATTAGTTTTGTTAAGTTTATTTGACATTTCAACATATCAAACAGTGTAAACAACTCAAATACTGTCATGAAATGCATTTGAAACGTCAAATAAAAATAATAAAATTTAAATGAAAATAACTAAATTCACGCATTTCTTATAATTTCGAAAAAAAACTAATTCCAATTTTTATTGAAAGTTAAAGAATAAAAACATATTTAACTCCATCAAAATCAACATCTATTCCAATCCACAATCTTAAAATAATAAATTTGCAAGTCTCCTTTGTATATTACTCAACTTTCTCATTTTTATATGATATGAAACTTATATTCACATTCACTCTTGTATTCCTAATAATCTTCTCGTCTCCCAGTTTCCATCATTTTTTTCAACTTAAGTAACGTACATGTAGACTAAAGAGGATAATGAATCAATACATCAGAAATAGTTTAATAGAAATCTTCAGTTAATGGATCAGTACATCTTAATTAGCTTCTTAGAAAAAGTGTAACTTGAACTCAAACAACTGGTTCGAAGTAGGTTGTAATAGTACTCTACATTCTGGACAACAATTCCACATATATCTCTGCAATGTTGTGCCTTACATGATCAGAAATATTTCTTACGAGACTCTATTTACAATTGCAGTCTGGATTTCCCTATGTGTACACTGAAATATATTTATCAAATCAGATACTCATAATACATTAAGAAAAGTGCATCCGGGTGATCTTTTGGTAGGTTGTTGATATAAAGGTTGAAACGTAACAAGTCCTCCTTGGAAACTGTTTCAGCATCAACAACATCTTCATTACAAGTTAGTACCCACAGATCCTCAGAATTAACTCTCCTTAAGGTACCACGGCAAAAAGGGCAAGACTCTGACAATTTGTTCCTACAGGTTGGAAAGACCAACATAAGAGTGTTACAATTCATTATAAACCAATGTGAACATTAATGTAAATACATACCACTTGCGGTAGCATTTGATACACATGGCATGACAGCAATTAGGTAAAACCATTTTGGTGCAAGGCTCTAAGCATATCCCACATTCATCTTCTCTTTCCAAATCCACATGGATTGGTTTTGCATCTCCTTCAATCAGTTTCTTGCCATAACTTGAGCTTTCTATGCTAGAATGTCCGCTCTTACAAATGTTTAACTTCTCCATGCTACCATGAAGTCTTTGAAGAGATGGCAGAATAATAGCTACAATTCATTTATTGACACCAGAAAACAGTGAGAAATAATTAGTAAAACCAGCCATAAAAGTGAGTATTTTCCTAGGCCGAAAGAACTAAAATAAAAGTTGCTTTCTGAAATTCAAAGATTCACGCACCATAAAACTCCCTGATGGTTGCTTTTCTTCCAGGAGGAGTCATATTTGATCTACCATCGTTGTGTACCTTTGGTAAAGAAAAAAAAAATAGAAGAGAAACAACAATAACAAATGAAAACAACGGTCATTTGTGAAGAAACTTTAGAATCCTATACCAAAACAAAATAAAATTTGTGCAATCGAAAGCTTATTACAAGGTTGAAGGATTCACTTGGTCTCTATAGTTGTCCCTTTTTAAGTTCTAGTCTCTGTCCAAAAAAACAGTAAATTTTAGTTGTGCTTTCTCACCATCAGAAAGTTTTATAGCGGTTTTACAGTTTACACTACTAGAAACTCTTCTCTGGTATTAGCACCCGAGACCAAAATTTAACTTCATTGTATGTTTAGAGACTAAATTGACAATTTCTTCGGAAGAGAACTAAAGCATTAAATAGAGACAACTATAGCAACCAAACGAATATTTCCAAGAATAGGTGTTTTACCTTGGATACAACTATGTGAAAGAGGTCAAGATATCTGAGTAGTAAGCATGTACAAGAAAAATCCATCCACTGTAGCAACAACAGAAAGAGAGGAGCCAAATGGTTGTAAGCCAATTTCATTTGGAGAAGAGTCCCACCCTTTGTCCTGGTTATTTCAGCAGCCCTATAAAGCACAGACCCAGTATTGAAATTTAGAGGGCTACACAACACGAAAGTAAGAAAGGAAACACACACCACTCCATTTCCACACACAAAACAAATAGTATTTCATAGTCCAAAATAAGGAATTTCACAATCAAGTT